GGGAGGTGGGCGTGCGCTGCAGAGCGCCACTGTTGAGGAGTGGCAGCGTTGGGGAGGCCTCGAAGCCAGGTGGGCGCACCGGCTAGATGGAGAGGAGGGGGCGCAACATGGTCATCGGGAGCAAAGCTCAATGAGCGCTGGGCTCCTCTCCTGGCCGAGCGTAGTGGCGACGCGCGCCGCATCACGCTTGGAGCTCCTGGGGGTTCGAAGCACCGTCGTTGGCGACTGGGGTGGTGAGGCCGGAGGGGTCAGAGCTTCCCTGGACTGGCGCCTAGCAGACTCCGGGCGCGCCCTCCTGACCGGGCTGCGGCCACGGAGCCCAGCATCCGCAGTAGGGACAACCCCCGATGGCAACTGAGCATGTGGGATGGGCAGGAGCTCAACCGCTTGCACCGCAGGCACACTCGTGGAGCCGGAGCCCAGCAGCGGCGGCGACGAGGAGGGGACGGTGATCGGCAGAGGAGAGGAGGTGCACCACCGACCATCACGACTACCACGACGGCCGTCGCGGCCGGACCTGTCATCATCGCGGTGGCCGTCGCGAGGCGCGCGGGAGAGGCTCCGGCGAATGCGGTGCGTTGTGTTGTGTGTGCAGAACAGAACACCAGGAACAAGAGACGCCCCCTCTTCGGTTCGCTGTTGGGGCATTAAAATGCTCGAGGTCTACTCTATGACATGGTGATTTTACCAAAGTTTGGGCCACTCGAAAGCGTAAAACCTTACATGCTGCTATATGCGGATGTGAATTCTCTAGAAATCGAACACCTTACCACGTAGCCCAGGCCTCCTTTTATAGTTACACAAGGGGTCGCCATAATGGATGGAATATATGTACCGCTGTTAGGAGCTAGGGTTCTGCCCGGTCTTGGCCGTAGGCAGTAGGGGAAGGAGGGGGCTGGGCGTGGCGATGAGCGGCCGCGCCGGCGGCTGGGTGCCGTCGCGGGAGAGGAAGATGGCGGCGGCAGCGCAAGAGGCAGGAGGTGGCTAGGGTTCCGGCTCCTCTGGAAGCTGGGCAATAGAGATAATCTTCTTATTGCTTAATTCCAAAAAGAGTCTTACAGCCTATATTTATAACCTAGATAACTTGCATAAGAATTAACCTAAGATAACTTGCATAAGAATTAACCTAAGATAACTTGTGGGCTAAGATTGCCCGGTGGGCCTCTACAACCGTAACACTTCTCCCCGCCCGCACAAACAGCTCGTCCTCAAGCTGTAAGGTGGGGAAGTGCTTGCAGAACTCCTCGAGGCGATCAACCAGCGTCAAACACATTCTCGACAACTGGGGCGGCAAGATCGGCGGCGACGGCGTCCTCCGGAATGTAGTCTGCAACCTCCGGGTAGAAGAGTCGCGGGCAGACATGGTCGGGCATGTAGGGCTCGTCGCAATTGAAGCACAACCCTTGGCGGCGACGCTCGAGTAGCTCAGCTGAGGTGAGCGGCGGAACGGGCGTCCCGCGGTCGCGGCGAGGGGTGCCGCAGAAGCCTGCGCAGGCCGACCCTGCGCGGAATCCAGCCCGGGTAGCGACCCAGCGGTCCGGGGCGGTGATTCCTGTTGGATGGCCACCCCGCGGCGCTCGAACGCGCGGGCGTAGTACATGGCCGACTGGAGATTCTGGGGTCCGTGAAGCTCCACGTCGACGCGAATGTGATCCGGAAGGCCGCCGATGAAGAGCTCAGCCCGCTGCAGGGCCATCACACCTGGCGCGTGACACGCGAGGGCCTGGAAGCGGTCGGCGAAATCCTGCACCGTGGAGGTGAAAGGCAGGCGGCCCAACTCGGCCAAGCGGCTCCCGCGCACTGGTAGCCCGAACCGAAGAAGACACAGCTCGCGGAAACGATCCCACGGTGGCATGCCGCCCTCGTCCTGCTCGAGGGCGTAGTACCATGTCTGGGAAGCCCCGCGGAGATGGTAGGAAGCCAGCCAAGTGCGCTCCGACGCAGGCGTGCGCTGTTCACAGAAGAATTGGTCACACTGGTTGAGCCAGTTAAGCGGGTCGTCCGAACCGTCGTACGTGGCGAAGTCGATCTTGGCGAACCGAGGCGGCTGCTGATGTAGCGCGCCCTAGCCCACTGCCTCGGCAGTGCGGAGGGCTGATGACGGCGCTCGGTCCATGGTGGGAAGGCCGGCGTAGTTCCCTATGGCGCCCGACGCCTCAGGCTGCAACTGGGAACCCGACGGCGGCCGGGCCTTCGTGTAAGTCGACGGTGGCCCGTGGAGCCAGACGGGAAGTGGCGACGGTGACGATGGGAAGCGGACCTCCTGGATCGGGAGTCTGCTCGGCGAGGAGCGGCCCAGGCTAGGGTTGGGCGGGGGCGATGGTGGGACCTGCATGGTTGCCGCCGGGAGGGGTGGCGCGGCGGGGGACGGCGCGGCCCAGGTCGGCCATTGCGGTCCCTGGGTGGCGGCGGGCAGCGCGGGTGGCTCCGCGAGCGGTGTCGGCCACTGTGGCCAAGGCGGCGTCGAGGCCGCTGGTGGGGGGATCGCGGGTAGCCTCTGGTGATGGCCGCAGGTACGGAGTACCATGGCAGCGCCTGCTGGCCCGCGGCCACGGCCGGATGGAGCGGCGGGGGCAGCCCGTACGGGCTCGCCAAGTAGAGGCGGATGCCCTGGACCACGACGACCAGGTCGATGAGGACGCCGGCCATGGCCTCCGGCGTAAACTACTGCGGCACGGGGGGAGGCGACGAAGGCGGTTGTTGGATGGGGGGTTGCGGCTGGCCCTG